AGTCTGGGTCTATAGTGAATAGTCTTCCAAGGGCCCGCGTTGACTTGGCTTTGACCAGAGCTCGGAAGCACAGCATTTAGATGTTTTGCTTTTGTTCCCTCACTAGGTGGCGCTCTTTCCCAGAGTCCGACAAAGCACTGCCTGTTTCACAATTTGTCGAAACCGTGTACCAGCTCTAGCTGGTTCGGCTCAGCGCTTAGAGTGTCTGCCCTGGTAGGGGAGAGTGTGGGAGGCAATCAACCAAGGTGTCTCTCTCACATCGATGTCTCTCTCTCTCTTCCATTCTCTCTGAAAAGCAATGGAAAAAAATATCCTCGGGTGGGGATAGAAAAGAATTAGTCTAGAAAGCTTGGTTTAGCTCCCATAACTATAAAACCACAAATCTTTGACACATAATAAGCTAAATAAGTAATGTCTCTGAAGCTGATTGCTAATGAGGAACAGGAGGTAACCTGGTGAGGAATCATGGAAAGAGCACTGCAGACAGGAGGAATGGCCCGAGCAACGGTCCTGGCTCATGGGACAGCACGATCTGTTCATGCTCAGGGTCATGGTCACACTGGCTCTGAGGCTCATGAGAGCGCCCATGAATCACTATCAACTTCCTCAACCTCTGTTCTCCCCATGTCATGGGTCCCTGGACTTTTTGGGTGCCAATGACACAGGCCAGACTTACTGCAGATGCAGTTTTCTTTTTTCCATCTGGTCTATTAACATCCTACTAGGTGGCTCCTAAATCATAATAGGAATAAAGGTTGGAGTCTAAGTAGTAGGCAGATGGGAAAGATGTGGCCAATTTTCTTAACATCAATCTAACTCAATAGTGTGTGCTACTTAATACAGTAATATGTAAGAAATGTCATCATACTTTGATATCTCATTTGAAATTGCAGCTTGAAGTGGTGTGGATATTGAAAACTAGGCCTAACTCAGGTGCTTAGTAAATATTTATTGTTGATAGTTTCATAAAGTGTTTTTTGGGGATAATTAATTTTGCTAGTATTTTTAGATTTGCGCTACTACTCTTTCTCCTGTACTTTCTGCAAATTGGAGGTTGTCTCATTATTACAGATTCTAAATGACTGGTTGGTACAGGTGGTGACCACCAGATGACTCCGCTACACAAGTGTGTTCTCTACAATTAGATAAATTACTTGTGGAGTGATATTTTGGTGCCACATGAATACTCCTATTTCTCAGCAATCTGCCATCTAAAGGTTTTAAAGTCCATGAATAACCCTTGCTTAAGTCAATTATTACTATTTTTTAAAAATATATCTTTTATTGATTTCAGAGAGAGGAAGAGAGAGGGAGACAGAAAGATAGAAACATCAATGATGAGAGTCATTGATCGGCTGCCTCCTGCACACCCCCAACTGGGGATCGAGCCCACAACCCGGGCATGTGCCCTGACCAGGAATTGAACTGCAATCTCCTGGATCCTAGGTCAATGCTCAACCGCTGAGCCACGCCTGGCCAGGGCTCAATTATTTCTTTAGGATCTGTATAAGTCATTTTCTAACTATAGCATTTATTCTACATTTATTTGTTAGCACCCGATTGTAAAGGCAGGGCAAACACTATGTTTCCCTTTAATAACCAATTTTCAGAGTAAGAATTTGGTGTAGTAGTAATTTCCAATGATGAAAAATAGTCTCCTGCCCCCCTTCTCTCTCATCAAGTATAACCGTATAGATTTTTATCTATTCAGTATTACCATCAATTGTAGTCACATGCTAAAATTGCCCTAAATTTGGCCTGTGAAAGATCTTCCAAGCTGGCTTCTTTTTAAAAAAATTTTACATTTACTTATTTATTTTAAATTTACTTTTGAAGACTGAATGTACAAATGGACATGGCCAGACCATATATAAAAATAGAATTCTGACACACAACCTGCAGCAAAATGCTTAGGAAACCAACCTCCATATCTCCAGTAACTAGCCCAGGAAGCCAGCCTGCTATAAGTCAGACTTGAAGGAAGTCAGACTGTTATCTCTGTAACAATCCAGACAGCTAAACAAACCTTCTGTAACAATCAGCTCAATATGGTAGGACTTGATTAAAAACTGACAGCTTCTCTAATTTTTGTTCCCACTTCCAACTTAGAACTGAAGAAAGCCAAATATACACCCCTAACCAATCATAGGGATGCCCCACCGCTAATCAGCTGCCTCCAGCGTCTCTGCCACAGCCCCCACCAGGGTGCATGTGGGCCTCCCCTTCCCTCCACTAAGAAGCTCCCCTCTCCTCTGCCTGCCTTTGAGTCTCTGCCAAACACAAGTGATGGTGGCTGACTTTCTTGCTACAGCAACCTCTGAATACAGCCTCTGCTTTTTAAATTTTGTTGGTTCTTCATTTATTTCTACACTTTACTGAGGTATAATATACATGAAATATAATTTACATTAAGTACACCCATTTTAGTGGTACAGTTTAATGAGTTTTGACAAATATATATACACACACACACACACACACACCCCTGGGTAATCACAACCCTAATCACGATGTAGAAAATTTTCATCACCCCCAGAAGTTTCCTCACCTTCCCTCCCAGTGGATCCTGCTCCTTTTTCCTCCTAGCCAAATTTGGATTTGGCGTCTATCACTATGGATTAGCTCTGCCTGTTCTCCTAAGTGCTGTTGACATAGCTTCATTAGTCTAAGCACTTCCATTGCATTCAGGCACAACAAAAGGTCTGACCTAACGTGGACTTTTCCTGCCCCAGAACTGGAGTCAGCCAATTCTCCAAGATGCTCTCAATCTATTTAGTTGGAAGTGGAATTTAGAAACCATGATCTGATGGGCAAGTGTGTTCATCGTTACTGTAAGCTAACCAGCCTTAATGGTTTACCTGGGACAGTATTAACACAAAGTCAAACATTCTGGGAAATCCTCTCAGTCCCCGGCAAACTGGAATTAACTGGTCAACTACTCTTCCAGATCCTTTCAGTTCATAGGACTAGGAAATTTTAAAAATCATGTGCTTGCCCGGCTGGTGCGGCTCAGCGGTTGAGCATTGACCTAGGATCCAGGAGATAGAGGTTTGATTCCTTATCAGGTCACATGCTTGGGTTTCGGGATTCAATCCCCAGCAGGGGGCGTGCAGGAGCGGGCCAATCAATGACTCTCATCATTGATGTTTCTCTCTCTCCTTCTCTCTGAAGTCAACAAAAATATATTAAAAAAAAAATCATGTGCTCAAACTGATATTTTCAATTTAAATATATTACAGGTTTTTTCCTGAAATTCCTTGATCTTGTATCTGTATTTCATTTTCTCTTACACTGAAAGTCTTGTGCATTTTAACATTTAAATATTTGTGTACCCTACAATATAGTTTCAAAACCATAGCAACAATATTACCATTAATTATAAACCACTAAATGTAGCTGAAGATTCCTCTGCAGTCCTTTTTTCATCCTTAGCATATATCCTAAAAGGTGAAGTTTAGTGGTGCTCGGGGAGGCTAAAGAGCCATCTATGACGGTGGATAAAGAAAAATTTAATTTATTTAAGGAAAGGGGATGGGGATATGCAAAGGGAAGGGTCACCCAGCAATGAGTCAAAGGGTACTGGGTCCATGATGGCAGCAAAAACATACTTGGGACGGTTAAACAAGGAAGAGCCTAGAAGCAACAGGAGAGCCTGGCTCGGCTGCCTCAGCTCACTGAGAACTGAGAAGGGGCCTTGGAGACAGCTTCAGGGGGTAAGACAGGGACAAGCCACCACTGCCCATTGCTCCCCTGATTGGAGGTCTTGTGTGTGGGGGGGGTCCCCTTGGAGGGAAGGAGATGGTGCTGGCCAGCTACCTAGGGAGCGTGCTCTGGGTCCTTTGTCCTCAGAGTATTTATCTCTTGCAGGTGGGAATCTTAGGGGAGGGCTCAGGGGAGTGTCGCAATAGAATAGTCATCAGCTTTCTAGGTGCACTCTTCCAGGTTCACTGTCTCCACAGATTGGCCGGTGCCAGGGCAGGGGGCCATTAGTTAATGTAGCTGGTCCTGAGGTGGCCACTTTTCTGGTTTTGCTGCTTTTCTGGGCCTGGAGCTAAACTACAACTGAGGCCTAGATGTTATCTTTAGGCAGGAACCACTCAGAAATTTGAGCAGCATGACCAGCGATGTGATGGGGGAGGGCAAGTTACCCTGGGGACAAGGTTCTTGTTTTCCCAGTTTTGCCCCTTGCAGGCATCCAGGGCTTTCTGTCCTGGTCTCTGTCCTAGTGCATTGTCCTTGTTCTGTTCACGTCTAACACACCCCACCACATACTCTCTGAGTAGTATGTTAAAAACATCTGGGGGGCACCTAGCTGGTTTGGCTCAGTGGCTAGAGCCTGGCACTGGGACTGAAGGGTCCTGGGTTTGATTTTGACCACGGACATGTGCCTCGCTAGCAGGCTCAATACCTGGCTCTGGTTGGGGCGCCTGCAGGTGCGCAAGGCAACCAGTTGATGTATCTCTCTCTCCCTTCCACTCTCTGAAAAGCAACGGAAAACGTATCATTCTCTGGTGAGGATTAAAAATATTTATATACATTTGGGGGAGCCCAGGCCGGGTGGCTCAGCTAATCGGAGCGTCAGCTGGGTCAACAATAGGTATTTGATTCTGGGTCTGGGCACATACCTAGGTTGAAGGTTGGATCTCCAGTTGGGGAGCCTATGAGAGGCGACCAATAGGTGTTTCTTTTTCTCGCTCCCTTTCTTTCTAAAATCAATAAAAACATCCGCAGGTGAGGATTAAAAAAAATAAAAATATCTGGGGGACAATTCTTTTCTCTGTTTAATGACATAGTTATGTTACCGATTTGACTTAAGAGTCAAGTTCACTTATTGTAATTTGCTTTCAACTTTGCGTTTAGTTCCCTTTTCTGTTAACTTTTTGCTACGTAAAGACTTCCAAGTTCAAAGACGGAGGCGGCTTGCTCGTTGGCGCCCCTCCACCGCTCACCGCCCCCCCCAGCTGCTCGCCCGCGTCCTCTTTGGGCCCCGGTCCTTCAGTTTTGGGATCCTGTGATGTGAGTCGCACCTGTTTTCTCCACACTGACCTGATTACTGGGGATACCCCACTCTAAGCCCGCGACACCTTCGGGGATGTCCGTTTGGGTAGAGCCGGTGCGGGCCGGCCGATCAGGAGACCCCCTGACCCCCGCGGTCAGCGCCGGCGCCGCTCCCCGTTTCCAGGCGACACCTCCCCCGCCCCCCGCAGTGGCCCGCGCGGCTCGCGGCGCCGCGTCAGGGTGTCCTCCGGCCTCAAGGCTCAGTTAGCCGGGCTCATTGCACCCCCACGGCACGCGCCTCCCCTCGCTCCGGGTCAGCGAGGTGCCCCTAGAGCTGCCCCGAGGGCACAACCTCCGTCTGCTAGACAACGGCGCCGCCGTTCGCCTCGAGAGGTCAAGTCGGGGGCCGCCCAGCGGCCGGGCGGCGGCCCTTCCCCGCGGGAGACAAAGCACCGGCTCCTAGCTCTCCACGCGCGTCACC